GTTTCTGTCCCTTTTGTTTTCCAGAGTGTCATATAAAGACTTACACAACATGTAGCCTTTGCTTAGCAAAATGCGGTTAAGTTTCATCCATCTTGTGTGTATCAGTGCTTAATTCCTTTTTATTGCCGAGTAGTATTTCACTGTATGAATGTACCTCCGTTTATTCATTTACCCATTGAAGGACGTTTGGGTTATTTCCAGTTTGGGGTGATTATGAATTTTATAAACATTTGTGTATAGATTTTTGTGCGAATGCAAGTTTTCATTCTCAAGGGTGATAATATGCCTTGGAAAGGGATTGCTGGGTGTGTGATGGAGTATTTGGTTGGCCCTTTAATCTTGTTCTTGGAATATAGCCTCTAAGTGCTTAGAAATTCCTGAGTGATAGGAGTGTCTTTGTTATTTTATGGTGGGTCCTGCTAGCTCATGCTAACAAAATGACTCAGGTTGGGAGCTGGCTGTGCTAGAAAGACTAACCGTGTGTTTAGAGGATTGGGGCTCTGAGTCACATGATATAAGTCTGAATCGTTCAGCTTCATTTCCAGTGAGTCAGTCATGCCTACATAATGAAACCCCAATAAGAACCCAGGACACTGAAGCTCTGATGTGCTTCATTGGTTGGCAGTACCCTGTATTGTCATGCGTTGATGTTTCAGGAGGGTAACATGTTCTGGTCACAAGGAAGCTTCACATTGGGACTCTCCTAGACCTCACCTATGTGTCTCCTTTTACCTGGTTCTGAATTATATCCTTATAAAACTGTAATTGTAAGTATTTTCCTGAGTCCTGTGTGCTATTCTGGTGAATTATCAAACCTAAGGTGGAGATTTGTAGCTAACTGGTCAGATATGAGGGTGACCTTGGACCCCCAAACTAACAGTTTGTATCTGCAGTCTTGTAGAGAACTTTGCCTATAACCTGTAAAGTTTGGTCTAACTCCAGGTAGTTGGTGTCAGAAGTCATTGCACTGAGTCATGTGGTCAACACATGCTTAACTTTGTGAGAAACTGCCAGACTTTTCCAGCAGTGAACAGCAACATGAGGGTTCCTGTTAAATCCCATAAAAACTTTGTACTGATTTTTAATTTTAGGCATCCTAGTATGTAGTGATACTCATTTTGCTAATATTTTGCTGAGGATTTTTGCATCTGTACCCATGAGGGATGTTAGTCTGTAGTTTTGTTGTTCTGTCTTCATTTAATTTGGTATCAGAATAATGATGGCCTAATAAAATGAAGAGAAGAGAATACATTTTCCAGAAGAGAATGTATACACTTGGTGGTGTGTGTTTGGTAGAATTTACCAGTGAAACCATCTGGAAGGAGATTTCTTTTTCCTAGTGTGTGCTTTTGCTATTTACCCTGCTTAGTGTTCTAAGCTTGATTCTATGGTTTGGTGTCCAGGATCATTAATTTTGGAGAATTCTCAGCCATTATTTCTTCTGCCCCATTACCCGTCTCTTCTAGGATTCTAATTATGCATATGTTAAATGGATACTGCCCCACAGTTCTAAGGCGTTCTTTCTTGGGTCTATTTTTTTGTCTTTCCTTCACTCTTTTTTCTCATGTTCAATTAGGGTAATTTTTATTGGCTTTGTTTACTGATTGTTTTTTTTCCTCAGCAGTGTAGTCTACTGATTAGCCAATTGAAGGTAATCATCATCCCTGTTACAGTATTTTCTGTTCTGGCATTTCTACTTATAGTTTTCATCTTTGCTGAAATTGCGATCTTGCTTGTTGTCCACCACTTCCAAACATTAACCATAGTTATTTTAAATTCTCCGTCAGTTCCAAAATCTGTCATAGCAGAGTCTGGTTCTGATGGTTGCTTCATTCTTCAGAATATTTTTCTTGTTTTCATGTGCCTTTGTATATTTTGTTTAAAGCAGCACATCTTGTGTAGGACAGTAGTTTGGTGAAAAGTTTTTACACTTAAAAATGGGTAGGCCTTTCTGCTGCTTAGACCTTTATTTCAGAGTTTGACTTAATCTAGTTAGGAGTTGTGCTTGGTTTGAGGTTATAGAAACGGTTATAGTTACCTTAGTGGCCACATGTTCCTGTAGTAGTACATCACATTTCTCATTGGAGTTGGATGTCACAGTAGTGTCTCCTCTGACTCTGAGTTCATCAGAGAGTTAACTCTTTATTTTGTGCCTCAGAGAGTTAAGTCTCTTTGGTTGCTTGTTACAGTCCTGTCCTCCCAGAATTCTGTTCCTGAAAGCTCAACTGGAGGCAGTGGCGGAACCGGCATTCTTGGATTAAGCTGCAGTTTTAGATGTGTCTCAGTTCACAGAGTGTGTATCGAGTGGGCCCAGTGATAACTGCTGCCTCTTCTGCGGTAGGGTGTTCTTCCCTATGCCCTTCCTAGGCTGCAGTGACCTTTCACCAGTGCCCTAAGAGTGCCAGTATTTGTGGCCCTTTTCCTCCAAAGAATGACACTTTTGTTCTACAGAGGACAGGGGGAAGGGTCTGGTAGAGCTTCTCTACCTTCCCAAAAGACTGTTGTATCCTGCTCCTGGGTCTGCACTCCAATTGACACTTCTTAGGGCTCTTTCGGGTCTTTTCTGTGAACACCTGATAGCGACTTGGTGAAGAAAATGCCTGCAAGAGAGTGTGGACTCCCGGAAGTTCTGCAGCCCCCAGGACTTCACGCTGTCCTACCAGCCTGTACTCTGCCTGGACCAGTTCATCACTTACGCTAAACTGTTTTCCCAGTGCCCGCTTACAGTCACCTTATGTAAACTGGTGCTGGTGGTGCCTCTCTCCTGCCTGATGCCTGCCCCTCTTTAGATTTTTGGCCAGCTGTTTACCACCTCAGCCTCTGGTGTGTGTGATAAAAGTCCTCATTTGAAGTTAATCTGGCCTTTTTTTTTTTTTCCATTTTAAGGATGGAAGTAATATTCCTTTAAGCTCTACATCCCAGAGCAGAAGCTGGAAATACTGTGATTTTTAAAAAATATGAAATTGTTTGTTGAATTAAAAACTTAAGTAATTTTAAAATTAAAATTCAGAAAGTAATGAACCATTTTTATTATCTATAAGGATTTTTTTATTGTAATGTCGATAAGATAGTTTAGATAATAGTAAACTGTAAGAGCTTTTTTTTTTTTTTTTGGATATTCTTTTTAGTCTTTTTGTGGTGGTTAATTTTAGATTTCCCCTCATTTACCTTTAGTTTCCACACCAACCGATAACATGGCTTCATAGTCTAGATTTATAGAAGTTTTAAAACTTTGTTTAGGGAGGCTTAAAAGCAAATGGTAACAGCAGTCAGTGTATAGTTTGTGGGACATAAACTGTATGGACTGCTATTTCTAAAAACCCTTTCCTTCGGCTGGCACATTTATATGTGTTTTCCTGTTACACGGAGTCTGGCCTTTCATTCCTGCCTCTACCCAGGGTCCTTGCCTGAGTCCTGCGAGGCAGTTAAGTGTGTCTCCTTCTGTGCATTTAGGAAAGCCTGCTCCATCGGCTTCCCTCCCATTCAGTTTCACTTGACCTGGTGATGCCACAGCAACTCTCGTTGGGCTTCATTGCCCACCCCTGTTGCTCTAGCCGTAACCCCGTGTCACACCTGGCAGGGACACCTTTGTCTTCTTGGGTTAACTCCAGTTACTCATTTGGAAGATGGTTTCTCCAAATATATATCCATCATTCCTGAGAGTTCGTCACATTTATCGTTTCCCTGCTCCTAAAGCAGGAGCAGAATAATCAGAATGTGCGTGTGAGGGCCCCGGCAGCACCACGAAGCAGGGCCCATCATCTGAGCTTTCGTTACTGGGGGTCTCATGCAGCCTCATTACAGCTCAGCATGAGAGGAATGCTAAACTCCACTGCCCGGAACAAGAGTGCTTTCTTACTAATCACCACGTAACAGTTTTGGGTCTCAGAGAAGAAACCAGATTTGTTTGAAATATAAGAAAGTCTGTTCCACAAGATCATTCCTAGGCCAAGCAAAAGTAGGTTTTCTAAAGTGTCATAGAAGAGT